TTTCCCTTGTCTTCTTCCTCCTTTTTCCCCTCACCCCCCTCCTCCGCTCCTCTGGATCCAGGGCCTAAGTGTGCCTCCAGCTCTTGTCATCATGGGGGAACAGGGAAACCAGGACCAGGACCTGAAACCAGGACAGGACACTAATGGCATTGTCCCTTCTGCTAGTATAGTACCCTTCTCCTCGCTTTTCTGGTAGGAGAAATGTATGCTCTAGAAAACAGAAAACGGCATAGCTGGTCATCTTGGACTTCTTTCTGTGAAACTGATGCAGCTGGAGGTGGAGCAGCATCTATCCTGTAGAACAAATATTGTGCAAATCGGTACTGCCCTGCTACTGAGGAGAGGAGCAGAATCCCTACCTTTCTTTCTCTGCCCCTTGGCTATGTTCACTTCTTAGCAGCAGAGAAGCAGAAAGTACCCCAGAGTTCCTGAGTGCTCTCAGTTGCCTGAGGAGGAACACAAGGCTGCTTTGAGGGGGAATGGTTGGTTTGCTGCAGCATGAGCCATTTGTCAGACTGTGGATTGGATTTGGCATGCAAGTTGCAGGGGAATCAGAAAGCACTGGTTTGAAACCAAATGTTGAGGTGGCACAGCTCAGGGGGTGAGGGACAAGAGGGCCACATGCTCGTGTTGAGTTGGTTTGCCTATGTCATCACTGGTGCCATAGCAGCAAGTCCTGCAGGGTTAGTGGTAGCTTCCTCAGAGGCTACACGCAGTCTGCAGTGGCTTTCCTCACCAGTTGCAGTGCTGCACTGGAAGACCCCTGCATGCCAAGCGCTGACATTCAAGTGTATGTTTGGTAAAGGAGTTTGATAGGAATCTCATCTGCAGAGGTTTATTCACATCCCAAAGCTAACACAGCTGATCATTCTTGGGGAAACTGGGGTAAACCAAAATGCAGTCGCTACACTACAAGATCTGCTGGGACCCTAGGGCAGGCTGCTGGTTGCGCTGGAGGGACAGCAGTATGGTTACAAGGAGGATGTGGCGTTGTGTTGGACAGATTGTGCTAGCAAAAGCACAAGTGGCAGCAGAAGTGAGGACAGAGCAACATGCCTGTGGTACCAACTAGGCAGGGTCTTTGTCTCCAGGTTTTTGGAACATTTTTCTGTCTGCTTTGTTGTCTTGGATGGTGCCATCACCCGTATCTTTAGCTAGATTGCACTAGCATGCACAACTGCACTGCCTTTGTCCTGCTCTGTAGATCTACCATATGCTGGAAAACCTGTCTGAGCAAATGGCAGGTGACATCTAACTGAGCCATTACTCTGAGCTGTTGCTCCTCCCCTAAGGTTTTGAAAGCTCAAAGAGCCTAAAAGATGAGAAATATTATTTCTTGAAATAGTTAGAACAAGGAAGGACTGCCACACTACTGCCCTCTTACCAATGAGTCCCGCAGCTCTACAGTACTTTTGCCTCTGCTGAGCTGTGTAGGACCAAGGCATTTTCCAAGCCCAACAGCAGTTAAATTTCTTCATGCTATTCCACAAGTGTGTTTGTCAACAGTTCTTACTCACTGCTCGCCTGTCTGCTTAGTCTGGTGGGCTACCTGGGACAGCTGGCTCCTCTGCAAAGGAAGACTTCAATATAATGTGAATTACTTACATTATCTGTCTATAGATGCCATTACATTACAGAAGGGAGACATTTTCTTTGGTAGTTTATTTTTTGGGTTTTTTTCTCTATTTGTGTCCATCTGTCAGGGAGCAATGTCACCAGTGGTTTGGTATAAACTGGAATAGATGGTCCTGAAGATTGTCCTTTGACTGAGAAGCAGGTAACTGCTCTCCCCAACCAAAACCGTTATGCCATGGCTCATCCAAATTCATCCCAGGTCTGAGGGTCTTCTGCTGGCTTGTCAGCGGTCAGTGGGTTTGAGAGGTGCCCCAGCTGCTCAGAAATGCAGGTCTGTGCAAGTATAACTGCTCTTCAAGACAATAAACCTGGGACAAATGAAAACATGGTTGCTTCTCCTTGTAAAGCAGTTCATTGTAGGTATAAAAATAATGTGAAATAGCACATTTTAAAATAGAGGAACTGTAAAATACACTTTGTAGCAAAGTATTAAAAATTCTGGAAATGAGTGTAGCTTCTGCAAACAACTTCTGCCATACTTCAGCCTGCATCTTTTGTATCACAGACAGTTACCCAAATATTTGAAGTGCTTTTCATTCAGCTCATTGTGAACTTTGTGGAACAGGAGGTTTTCAGAAGCTATAAAAAAAACCCAACCAAGCTTGGCCTTCAGCTGGAACTGGCGCTGAAAACATGGTTCTAGCGGTTATGGTATCTGGATGAGTACCAAACCCAGATCAAAACGAGTCAAATAAGAAAGACAAGAATTGCTTGTGGTCTGCTTTGGGAGCGTAGGCAGTGATGGATACCCTGAGGATCCTACATGGAGTTGCAAGATGAAGAGATTATCCCTTACCTGACATAATGGAAATTTGGGAGAAGGCTTTGACTTGTAGATGGTTGTGCAAGCAGAATAGTGAAGCTGATTCCTCTTGGGCTGGTTTCTAGGTAAATGGCTTTTGATGTAGTCAGTAATTCTTATAAAGTGACTAACAAGCTGCTGTTGTGAGGACACATGGTTTATATTAGAAAAGCACTGATGTAGCGTAAGGGGAGCTATGGCTGGGCTACAGGGACAGGACTGTCCTGGGGACAGGGCACACTGAGTTAAAGAGCTGCTTGTGGAGTTTCCAGACTTTCAAATGCTTTGTTTGTGTTTAGGTTTTGGGTGGTTGTTTTGTGGGGTTTTTTTTTTTTCTTTTTATGATGACATCTAGGGATGCTCCAAAAACCAGAGCTCTATCTTGCTAGGTACAATCTGAGCAAATAACAGAAAATTGGCACCCCTCAGAGGGGACGGGGCTGGGAGAAGATTGCTGGGGTGGAACACCAGTGGAAATGCACAGGGAAAAGCAGAAAATGTTAACTTTATAGTTTATGGTTTCCTAACCTATGCTACACAGGGCTGTTTTGTAGATACTGTGAAAAAGATGGGTTTAAGAAGGTATTTAGAAGAGAGTGAAACGGCAGCCCTTTAGGTACCACTCTGAGCGGTACTTTTTGCCATGAGTTGGCATACAGTGCAAAGGAGATGTAGCTACATTTGAAAATATCCTGACTTTTAAGTGCCATACTTGTGTCACTATCTTCAATAATATTTTAACACAATACAGAGACAGTGTGCCTCTGGTTGGAAGCCCTCTTTCTCATCCCCCAGCGTTGCTGTAGTGTAGCATATCACCAGTTGGTCCTTCTTCAGCAAGCATCTTGAGCTAGTGACCTTGCAAAATTTCCTGTAGCTTTTACTTTTCCCATTTGGAGAATGTGTTTTGCTGTTATTGATGATTTCATGTTAAATGAGACTATATCATACGTAGAACAAATCTAATATTGACCATGCTTGACCATGCCAAAAATGTTCAATATTCTCAGAAGAGCTTTGTACACTGCTCGGACAGTTTAGCATCTTGCTCTTGCCGCCGCCTCGCCCTTTGCAAGTGATGTGTGGTGTTCCAAAGATGCTCAATTGCCATTATAAAAGCCGTTGTATAAACTTCCTCTGGGACTCTGGAAGCTTCAGGCATCTTGAACACTACAGGCCCTGACAATACAACCTAAGTATTTTAAGAAGGCGAGTCACTGAGTCTCCGCAGTGATTTTTAGCTGTGTCCAGCAGAAGTTTGCAGTCTATAAATTCCATGGTGTGACCCACCAAACCACTCAGCAGCAACCCAAGGCACCAGCCTGCAATGAGGAAGACAAAAGAGGAAAGTAAATTTGAAGCTTCAAGGCTCAATTGGTTTGATTTGTGACTTTAAAGTATATGGAGACTTTTTTCTTGGAAGAGTTTTTGATCCTTTCTCATCTGCCAAATGCCTTTCCAATGCAGACTTTCTGAAACAAATCTGTGTATATTTTTGTAAGTGTGGTTTCTCGGGGTCTTGGAGAGCTATCAGCTTCTTGATGTCTTATCTGAAAGCTAGTCACAGGGGCTGTCTTTCATTCTGCTGACTGAGGCAGTTCTCCTGCAGCTTCTCACCCCAACACTTCTCCGCTTAAAATGAAAGTATAATTAGAAAATGCCCTTTTTTTTTCCCCTCCACTGATTTCTTTCAGACTTCTGTGCATCTCTCTGTTCAGCCAAGGCTGCTGCTTTGCTCTCAGTGGCTTTGTTCTTATGTCCTTTACCAAGGAGACGCTTGCCATGTGCATTGTGGAGTTTTGGAGAAGGTGCTGAACCAAGTGATGGGGAAGCACCACCCTGGGGGTGGCTTGGAGAAGACAAACAGGAGAATTGGTGATGGTGTGGTTGCTCCTGGCTCCCTCACTGCAGAGCAACCACACAACTGAGTCTATGCTTGATCAGAGCAAGCCCTTTAAAGTTTTTTACTACGATGCTGGTAGAGGGGTTTGCTCTTGCAGAACTCCTGTTTCGCTTTATGTACAGTGCTGGTGGTTGAAGAACAGGTGTGTGAGGCTGTGTCCTTTCTGCAAGGCCAGGATTGAGACAGCAGCCTATGAAAGTAGCATTGCAGCTGCAGGCCATGTGACGAGCTTTAAGAGCGTGTGCTCATTGTAACCAAGAGAGCATCTCAAACGTTAACCTTCCAGCCTTTCCCCATCTGTACCTGTTTAACATACAGATGGGGGTAAAGCACATTTGGGCTTGGCAGGACCCCT